CGCTGAGGCGGATGTTGGAACAGAAGCGTTTGCGGAATGTGAAGGAGCAGTGTGAGGCGAGGGAGAAGGCTGAGAGGGAGATAGTGGTGAAGGAGAAGAAGAGGGTGGAGGAGAGGCAGAAGGCTGAGAGGGAGAAGGTGGAGAAGGAGAGGAGGAAGGGGGAGAAGAGGGAGAAGGAGAAGACGAGGGGGGCGGTTGCGGGGAAGCAAGCAAAGGGCGTAGTGCCTGTTAAGACGGCGGGGAAGAAGGTGGTTGTTATGCCGAAGACGGGTGGTGGGGGGAAGAAGAAGTGACGGGTTAGAGTCTCTAGTGAGCAGTTTATTATGTTAGATAGTTAGTACATCACCACCACCGAGCCGTGTTCCCTCTATTCAATCCTCTCCTTCCTTGCCCTCTTTCTCCTCGCCCTTACCCTCACCCTCATCTCCCTCTCCATCTTTTCCATCTTTTCCATCCTTCCCATGCCCCGGCTCCTCACACCCCAAACTCCTCCGATACCTCGCCCACAGCTTTTCCACCCTCTCCCCACAACACCCCACCCAAAACGCCCCCTCACAATACTCCCCCACCCCCAACCTCTCATTAACCCTCCTCACAACATCCTTCCCACACTCGCCCTCCAGCCACTCCAGAAAATACGCCGTACGCTCATACCCAGCATCCCACTTACAATCCGCCCGTCTCTTCCAATGCGGCGGCGCAAGTCCCGCTTTCAACCGAACCCAATCGGCCACGCCCTCGATGAGTCCACTGGGAGCCGTTCCACACGCATCTCGCTGCCAACAATGCACCATTTCATGTACGAGCACGCCCATGATTTCCTCTTTTTGCCGCGTGGGGGCGATTCCCTCGATGTAGGTTGTGTTGAAGTGGATTTCTTTGTGGTCGTCGTCGAGGGAGAGGCCGGTGGTGTAGGCTACGCCGTCCATGGCGCGAGGACGAGGGTGACGGAGCGGGTGGCGGGATGCTGGAGGTGGGGAGGGAGGTGTAGAGGTGGGTTAGGACTGTGTTGAGGGCGTGCGTGAGGGGCGTGGGTGGCGTTGACGAGGCGGAGGAATGTTGTTGTTCCTGGGGTGGAGAGGTCGTCGAGGCGGAGGCGGAGGAGAGGGGGGCGTGGTGGTGTTATTGGGTGGGTGGGGTGTGACAGTGGGAGTGCGTCGGGGGTGGTGGAGGTGGAGGTGGATGTGCTGTCGGTCGCGGGGAGAGCGGAGGGTTGCGGGGTGGAGTCGTGTGTTGACGACATGGTTTGGTAGTATTTTTTTGGTGGTGGCGTCATTGGCTTGTTATCTCGCACGCGCGTTTTGGAGTTGGTGGTTGTTGTGCGACGTTGAGTTGCAAGGTATCAGGAGTAATAAGTACTTATGGCGGTGAGAGGGGGTCAGCGGTTGCCCCGGACCCTTCCGCCGCTTACCTGTCGGTAAGCGAATCCTTTGCTGATCATGGGGAGGGATTCGTCATTGTTTCTATTCTATCCGTCTTTCTATGGGCATGATTGTCGTCTATGTGATCCATGTACCGTGTACCGTGTTTCGCGTGCTGTACCGTACCTCGGTACACGCTAGCGTCGTCTTACGAGCTCTTGAACACCTCTGGGAAAATGCGACGCAGCTCCTGCAGACTGCGGATTTGGTACTGGCTGGCTGGCTGGGCAGGTGATGGGTCATTCTCGTCTAGCAAATGTGCCGTCTTCCAGCCTCGCTCAGCAGCCGCCTTGCAGTTGATGTAGGAGTCGTCTTGTGTTTGAATCAGCAATCACCTATCCATGACATGTTCGTGATGACTTACCGACAAAATAGCATTTGTCGTTGGACTTGATTCCAGCTTCCGCCATGGCCTTGTCATACATCTCCGCGTGTGGTTTGCAGTAGAACTTGTCTGAGCCATAGTCACAATAAGTGATACCTTCGAAGAGATCATCAATCTCAAGAAGCTTGACAACGCGCTTGCCATGGGTAATGTATGCGTTTGTGAACAGCCATAAGCGCACCTTGCTCGTGTCGATGTCTTCAATTAGCTTCCGTAGTTCGGGGTTTGGCTTGATGACGTCGCCTAGAGGCAATGCATCATCGACTTTGCTGTTGTACTCTAGGGCATCGACTTTGTGGTGTCGGACTAGTCCTTCAATGGCAAGGCCGTATTCACGGTAGTATCTGTAGTGAAGCTCATTGGCATCTTTCTGGGAGAGACTCAGATGATTCTGGAAGAACTTGTCTGTAGTGAAGGTTAATATCAAGTCTGGAATGTTTCTACATTTTCTTACCAATCAGTTCGGCCATCATGCGGTGAATGTCAAGACCTGCACTGTCAGTCTCTTCTCATCCAGACAGGATAGGCTACGCACTCTTGGGATAAAGCTGTAATCTGTTAGTGCCATTCTCAATAGATCACGATAAACTCACGCAGTTATCAATGTCAAAGAAGAAGACGGGCTTCTCGTTGTCGTCCGCCACCGGGTCATCTTGTGTCCGTGACTCATGTTGCGGCTGCGAGCGATACTCCAAGGTCTCCGGGGGTGCTGCCGTATTGAAGTCGTTCGGGGCCATTTTTCATAGACTGTATTACTGCATTCACTGTCAAGGAAGGTGCGATGACTACATGTAGACTCGGTGGGTCGGACCCGAGAAGGTGCTATGTAAACCTCTTTGGGACTAGCGTAGACTAATTGGGCGCGCAGCCAAAACACGGCGGCTCCGACCCGTCGTCGACTTTCTTTCCTCCTGCGGCGTGTCGCATCCCACCTCTCCCCTTTCTTCCACTATCCACCCAGCTCAACCGCGGGTCTCGGCTGTATCTGTGTTGCGCACGCTTGTTGTATTGGTACTAGACACAGTCTTTGATCGGTTGTAATTTCAGCAATGTCGACAGCCACAGCGCCGTCGTCGCACCTGAACGGTGGCAGCGCGTCATCTGCAGAGGTGCTTCGCGAGGCCGAGTTCCTCCAGAAGATTCTGCAGATACGTAATCAAGTGCTTGCTAGCAAACATCCGCGTATTCATCTCCCAGCCAAAGTAATTGAACAGGTTGCACCACGTCCTTCGCAAACTGCCTTGAGCAGACCCACGACCAACGGCACACCCAACGGATCCGCGTCGCACTTGTTTCCACCACGTCCAATACACTCAGCCCGGCTTCCCACTTCCCCCACTCCCCTTTCACAGCGACCCTATTCGGCAAAGTCTTCGGCAAAGTCGTCTTCGTCGGGCATCGACCCAGTCTTGCTCGAAAAGTCAGAACACCTGGTCAAGGCCGAGCTGCAGCTCAAGCGCCAACAGATAGAACGCGCGTTAAAGGACCAGTTTGACAAAAAGGGTCGCGGCTACGATGTTGAGGAGCGCGAAGCTCTCATCGATGTGGAGCAGTGTTTGATCAAGGCCCACCAACTGGTTCCGCCTGTATCTGGCTTACCATCTACAACTAACAACAGCGATGGCGCAGAATCATTTGACGAGAACTCGTATTACTCTAGCAAGGCAGACAGTTGGTCTCCAGAGCAAGACCCTGCTGACCATACTCATGCTGATGCAGCACCTGCACTGATGTCGCAAGCGAAGCAGACTGCCCAGCAAGTAAATGTGCATGCGACGGAGCCTACAGTAATCAATCTCGACGAAGAAGAGGCTTATGAGCCAGCCGATGACATAGACGTTTATGAGCCACCAGAGCCTGCACCACTGCCCGAGCAAGACGACGAGGAAGAGGCGTACTCCCCACCTCCAGCCGATGTCGTCCCCGCTGAGCCATCAAGAGGGCGGGCCCGCAATCGCCATGGCGGTATGAACGGGTATGGTGGAATCTTCCCTTTTCCCCTTTCCCATTGTCTCTCAACTCTGATATGTCGATAGATCACGTCGTACAAGTCCCGCTGGTCCAGCAGCGCCTGTGCATAACCCTCGCAAGCGGAGAAGAGATGAAAAGCGCGAACGCGACGAGAAGAGACGCCAGCAACAGGCCAACAAGCGGGCTGTTGCATCGCCCGAACCGTACATTAAAGAAGAGCCACAGTCACCTCCTCCCTTCGCGGCTTATCCTGATTCGCAGCCCAGTAAGCGTCGTGCACTACAGCCTCAGCCTGACCAAGTAGAGCTTGTGCCAGCACAGGGTAGTCCCATGATGCAACCTGTTTACTACCGCGACCAGGAACCCTTGCCGCGACCCTATCGCGACATGGAAGAACCGTCGTCTCCGACCGTCATACGTACCCCGCAACGCAAATCACAGCGTGACGATCAAGACCTTAGACGGGTTGCCAGCCTCCAGTACGCTCGCCGTCCATACTCGCCCGGTGGCGGTGGGGACTTGTATGCAGCACCAGAGCCACGCTCAATGCGAGCAGCATCCCATGCCTTTATCGATGGTGCCGAGGCGCCTATTTACCGCGAAGTTTCAGCACGTCCATCAGGTGCGCCTAGATATGTGCGCGACCGTTCACGATCCCCTGTGTACGAGTACGTTGCACGCCCACAATCGCCCATGCGCATGGCACCGCCGCCAAGGCGTATAGTGGTGGATCAGTATGGAAACAAGTACTATGCAGCGCCAGTGGAGGGGCGAGAGTCAATGGCACCGCCAAGTAGACGGGCCGAAGTAGAAGCGTTCTCGGAGCGGGCTGCCACGCGAGAGCCTACGATGCGCGCCTCGGCTCGTACCGACATGTACGAAGAAGGTGGGATACAGAGGATGCCCATGCCCCCACCACCCCGGCGCTATGTGCAGGCTGATGTGGAGATGATGCCGAGCCCATATCGACAGCGAGAGCCGTCCCGCCGTCCAGCAGAAGTAGAATACCGACCTGTTCCGCAGTATGAAGAGATGGGCCCGCCAAGAGAGTATCCACCGGCTCGGTCATATAGCATGCGTCCCGAAGTTGTTCGACGCGAGATTCCAGAAGGGTATATACGTCATGAGAGCATGCAGCCACCTCCAGTAGGTGTATCGCAGCCTCGTTACCGTGAGGTCAGCGTTCACCACGAAGGGCTGGATGACCGTCGGTATATTAGCGGGCCTAGTCGGCGGTATGTGGAGGAAGGGGTAATGGAAGTTGGGCCGGAAGGGTATGCGGGAGAGGCGCGTCACGTATATGCACGCTACTGAGTACCGTATGTAGGTTGTAGAGATGGTATTCATTGTACAAGGGTAGATTGTGGGCTAGGTTGGTTTGAATAGCAAGACATAGCAAGACAGTCTGGTGTAAGAACATGGGTTAAGCATCGTCTTACAGGTCTTGTGTAAGTTTGCCTTTAGTAGAAGGTCGAGCTGGGTGTTTCAGGGCGAGCGGTCAGAGTGAGGTGATGGCAGGTCTGGAGACGGCTAGGCCGGATCGGGGTGGACTAGCAGGCGCTCAACAAGCCTGGAATCGCCACGGACAGCACAAAAAGCAGATACACGTCTATGGTTGGGTACGTGTGTGCCAAAGTGCGTGCAAAGTGTCAAAGTGAAGAGGGCAAATTGTTTTTTTTGTTTCATGTTTGACGAGTCTAGGTAGTGACGGTAGTAGTCGACTTGTGGCATGAGGGAATGTGGTGGGCGGCGCTCGTCTGGACCCACCACCCTCTTCGCCGGCCAATCAACGTGTCGACGCTCGCTGCTCGACAAGCTGCTGGGGCTGCACCTCTCCCATCTTCCTCGTCTCTTCCTCGTCTCCCCTCCACCCACCTCAGCCCGGCATAACAGCTTGGGCGTATCTCGTCGACCACGATGCACAAACTCTCAAACTTCCCGGCCCAGGCCCGGCACGGATGGGAGAAGATGGCGCCGTCCACGAGCTTCTCCTTCTCGAGGTCCAACCACGAAATGCCCGTCTCAGCGCCCATCAAGCGTCCGTCGACGGCCACGACATCGGCGCCGCCCGTGATCGCCCCGGGTACCCAGGTCAACCTCTCGTTTAACGTGCCCTTTTCCTCGAACCTGCAAGGGCCCGATCCCGACGACATCATGTGGGCCAGTCCGGGGGCGAAGGCGCGATGGACGCACGCCGAAGGAACCGCAGAGGGCACTCCCACGCACAAGCTGCCCGTGCATGCACAGAACGTCGACAAGCTGCGCAATCTGTGTCGCGAAGTGAGCGAGCAAACCGACGGGCGCGTCTCGGCCGTCGTCACTTCGGCCGAGTCGAAGCCGTTGCCCGGCCTGCAGCGGGGCCCGCTACGGGCCCTCGTCACCAACGTGTGTCTGTCGGGCGAGCTGGAGATTGTGAATTCGATGCGCTGCCGCATCCTCAACTCGACGCCCATTTCTCTGGTAAGGACTTACGGATTGGCGCCCACAACCACTGCGGGGGACGACGACGTCACTGTCACTGGCCTGAGCACTGCTAACGATGCTCAAACAGCGATCATCCTTTGTCGACATCGACTCGCAGCTCATCATCGACCCGCCCTCGCAAAATGTCCGCGGCGCCGTGCTGAACCAACTCGACCTCATCGCAAAGGCCACAAAGGCCGACATGTTCCTGCTGATGCCCAAGCAGCCGGACATTGAGACGGCGAGCTTCCACGGCAACATGGACACGGGCATGGATCCGCGTCTGCGCTGTCAGATCTACGGCGATCTCGAGACCATGGAGCACGCAAAGACGCGGGTCCTGATCATGATTGACCAAATTGTAAGTTGTCCTCGTGCTCGTGGTCGTGCTCCTCCTGCTAACCCCAACAGCTCAAGCGATCTGTCGATACCATGAAGCTGGAACTAACTATGCATACGTTAATATGCGGACGCGGCCGCAAGAACATCAAGATGATCGAGTCGGCCACAGGCACCGCCATCTACTTCCCCCCGCCCTTTCCCCGCCTGTTCGGGTACACACCACACGGCGCACAGCGGAGACCCGACGACCTCGTGTACATCACGGGTGAGAATCCCGAAAACATACTCCGTGCCAAGCAGCGACTACACGACCTAGTCATGTCCACAAAGGTCTTTGTCAAGCCCGTCATGGTCACCGACACCAAGCTTGACGCCATCCTGCTCGAGCGTCTCGACAAGGTCCGCAAGATCATCGAGAACAACGGCTCCTACATCCTGCTGCCACCCCTCGGAGTCCAGCGCGGTCTTGTGCGGGTCCAAGGCACAGATGTCTTGCACGTCGAGCGTACTGTGCGCGAACTCATGCAGCTTGCTGGCCAATTCTACAGTGCCTCGTGGTTCATCACCCATCCCGACCCCACCCAACGCCCGCCCACCCCCGCCGACGTCCGTGCTATGCTCTCCGACATCTGCATCAACTCCGGCGCCGAAGTCAGCTTCGAAAAACTAAACTTCCACATCTACGGATCCGACGATGCTGTGCGAGCCGCCCTCATGGTCATTAGTAACATTCCATTCGTCAAAAAATCTCAGTACAACATGAGCGTCAAGATTGAGCTTGCCAACGAGCACAAGGAGTTTGTCAGCGGCAAGAAGAATGGCAAAATCAACAAAATCATGAGCCACAGCAGTGTGCAGATTGTCTTTGACGGCTTCAACGAGTACAACTTCTACATTGTAGTCCGCGGTGCCCAGTACGAGGCCACGAAAAACGGGTTGGACCTTGTCGAACAGGAAATGCCCGCCTCAATCTCCTTCCACGTTCCCGATCAGTACCACAAGCGCATCATTGGCATCGGCGGTCAGCACATTCAACGCATCATGAAGAAGTACTCCGTCTTTGTCAAGTTCTCAAACGCCATGGACCGCGGCGGTTTTGGCAAGGAAGAAGACGATATCAAGGTCGACAACGTCATCTGCCGCACCCCTGCCCGCAATGCTCAGAACCGTCGACTTGGTCAAGCAAGAGATCATGGATATGGTGAAAAGGCCGAT